ACCCTCTCTTTCTCCTTTCCTTCCCATTTTTCTCCAGCAGTTACATATTGCAACATGTACATAAGGGAGACTGTTTTGCCCAGGCGGTCCCATGTCGCCCCACAAGCGATCGTTAGGGGCCTAGAGTAGGCTCCCGACATTCCTCATCCCAAATTTTTCTTACTCTCCTAAATTTCTGTTCTTCTACTTCACTCACTCACCCTTAGAGCAGATGGGCCCTTCAACAAACATCCCCCAATAGAGAATTCCTCTGAAATGGTTGTCTTTAAATGTGAAGGGCATGAATGCGCCCCAGAAATTAATCAAGGTTTTCCACTACCTTGGGTCACACCGAGTGGACATTGTCTGTCTACAGGAAACCCATTTCTCTTCTTCCTGCCCTAAATATTTCAAAGCCAAATACCCACAAGTGTTTTCATTTACGGCTGCCACTAAGCACAGGGGCATTCTAATAGCATCCCATAAAACATTCCTTTTCAGTGTACTAAGCCGATCTTGGATCCGGAAGGCAGATACCTTCTCCTGCTAGGTACGATCTCTGACTCGGTCGTCTCTATACTCTCCTATGGGCCCAACACGAGAACGAGACAAATACCATTCCTTTCCCATCTCTTCTCTCTACTCCAGACTCATGCTAAAGGTATGATTTTGCTCTGCAGAGATTCCAACCTAGTTCTCAACCCCAAACTAGATAAATCCCCAATAAATCCTTATCACTCCCATACAGATTCTTCGGCTTTTCAAACCATGCTTGAAATATACAACTTTGTGGACACCTGGAGGGAACTTCATCCCCTGCTGAAGGATTATAAATTTTATTCCTATCCCCATAATTCCCATTCCCGTATAGACCACATGTTTGTCCCACGCTCCTCCAATTCCCCTTGTTGAAAAAGCAGCTATTACTTCATCCCCCTGGACGGACAACGATCCCACTGTGATCTCTCTTCATTCGCTTCATCCAAACTCGGGACCTAAACCTTGTATACTCAATGAATTGCTTTTGTCTAACCTAACACTTCTGACGGAACTATAAGCATCCACTTCAGAATATTTTCGCCTTAATCCTGGCTCTGTGATCGCTCCGGTCATGTTATAGGCGGCTTACAGGAGTGTTATACAAGGCCACTTTATTCGAGTAGCCTCCCATTGCAAGAAAGAGGACGCAACGTCGTCTACTCCTAGAATCAGCACTGGATCTGGCCTCTACCCAATTCAAACGCTCCCCTACATCAGCACATCTGACCGCTCTCACCAAAGCCCATCATGACCTAGACCTCTGTTTAAATGTGGATTCTGAATGTGCAATGCTATAGTCTAAACAAAACTTCTATGCCAAAGTGAACAAAACCGATACTATGCTGGCCAGGAAATTAAAGATAATTGATCCAAAACCCTGCACCATCACCTTTAAGACTAGATTAAACACAGTTACAAGTAACCCAGTAAAAATACTAGAAGAATTCAATTTCCATCTTTCAAAACTCTACTCTGAACCCACTCCCCCTTCCCAGATTGTAACTTTTTTGGAGACCATCACTCTCACCATGCTACCTGATTTGTGTTCCAAAGCTCTGGAAGATGACATCACAGAAAAAGAGGTCTTCCAAGCAATTTGCGTTCTCAAACTGGGCAAACGGGTGGGACTAGATGGGTTTCCGACACTCTTTTACAAAAATAATTTTGGACCAGCTGGTCCCTCACCTTTTACTAACATATTCAATTCCCTAAAAAATGGAAGCACAATATATCAGGACATGCTAACGGCCAACGTGGTAATGCTCCCTAAACCCGACAAGGATCCCAGGGTTTGGGCCAACTTCCGCACTATTTCTTTGATAAAACGTTGACATCAAACTCCTAACTAAAATCTTTACCTCCCGAGTCAACGGTTTCCTAGGTCATCTGATTCAAAGTAAACAAGTGGGTTTCGTACCTCTTAGGCGGCAGACAATATACAAAAAGTAGTCTCCTTATGTTACTTCGCACATCAACGTAAAATTGAAATGTTCCTTCTCTCTCTGGATATGCACAAAGCCTTTGATTCTATCTCCTGGCCATATTTGATGTCCACACTGGAGAAATGGGGATTCAGTACAGGCTTCATGACTTGGATACGGGCGGTCTATTCCAGTCCTGAGGCTACTCAGAAATACCAAGGATTTAGCTCCACCTCCTTTCCTGTTAGAGGGGGTACACGTCAGGGATGCCCACTCTCCCCTATTTTTTTATTTTGGCCCTTGAACCATTAGCAATTTAATTTAGGGCACATCAAGGTAATAAAGGCATGCCTTTGGCTGGATACCAGCATAAACTTTTGCTATTTGCAGACAATATACTACTGACCTTGACCTCTCCACACTCCTCCCTACCAAATCTAATTGCCCTATTGGACAAATTTGCGAATATTTCGGGACTTCATATTAATCCATCCAAATCACAGGTGATGAATGTCTCCTTAATCTACAAAAATCTAATTTGCAATTGAAATACTCCTTCCCCTGGTCACCCGTTCTTTCCTATTTGGGTATAACGCTAA